ATAATGAAATGAAATGAAGCAATTTATTTCAGACAGTTACCAGTCCATACGGTGTTAGTAGGTACTTACAACTATGTTCGTAGAAAGCAAAGTATTCATTTTCATGAATAAGGATGGACATCCAATACTTAATGATTGGGCTGTCCATCCTCTCTGCTACCTACCACCTTAAGAAGTCTGCTGGTGCTGCCTCTCATTCTGGCCAACAGGGATGCCACTCTCTTGCGAACGACTGCCTGAAAACTATCAACTCCAGTCTCTGCAAACATCCCTGAGGCACTACAGTGTCGAGACAGCCCCAACAGTCCCATGAGGGCGTTGTTGAATTGGACACGCAAGGCAGTGTATGCTTTTTTAGTGTAATTGCTCCGCAGGTTGCACGTGTATAGGGTCTGGCAATATGTTTTGAAAGGGTGATTTTAACCTCATATAAGCACAGTGCAAACCTGCGGGCCAGCATAATAATGTTGCTGTGCGTATTTATTATTATAAGTAATTGTTTACTATATATATTACGTATATTACGTTTATTATATAAGTATATTATTATGCTTATGCTGTATTATGTTTATTTTATTCCGTATAAATTAACCATAAAATTTTGGCTTATGATAGTTTTCCTTTTACAACTTTTGTTTTTTTTTCTGTTAGGCTCAATGGTTGACAGGTTGAGAATGCCTTATAGCCTTAGACTAGGGAAACTAATTTTTTCCATCTTCTAAGCTTATGGCTTTAATTTTTCGTTTGTGGTGATAGTGACGACCGAACATCTGTCGACCTTCATGAAGGAAGAGTTTTGGCCGAAGGGTGTCATATATCGCCGATTCCGCGGCCGGTTACCTGATACCAGATTACGTCACACGTCGCCGACAAGTGCATTAAGTGTAGATTAGTTTATTTTGTTGCTGTATTATGTTGCATGTATGTTAGTCCTTAATATTATATGGGTCATGTGGCCTGAAATAAATAAATAAATAAATAATATTAAGTCCGCCATTTGTAATATTCTATTTTGCAAAAAGGTTAAATAAATAAATAATAATATGGTAACCCTGATCTGATGCTACTAGGACACACTGCCGACTACCCAACTCAATTACTTACAGCACAATTGTCGTGTTTGGACTCATTAAATTGATCTCGACGACGTTGGCTTACAGACTAGAATCTGATGATGGAAGGTGGACACAGGAACTAAAAAGTCGTTGAAAAACCAAATACAAAGATCCGACAACAAGCACATAGAAAAATTCGTGAGGTGTGCTGGTTCGTTCAGTGGCTTAGTTGGCATTGAGTCTGGCACGGTTTGCTAGAAGACGTCGTTTCACATCCAGCCGGCTCGAAGGATTTTTTTCTAAGTGTTCGATCTTTATTTAATAATTATAACAAACTAGTGGAGTAACTTCACACAAAATAAGTGAATATCAATTCAATACAAATTTAAATGTACCAAGAAAGTTAAGAAAAATATAACCAAAATAAAATGTAGTAGCTACTTTACTTCTAAGTCGATTAACTGCGTCCGGTTTGCACTAAGTGCACAGGACAACTGATAGAAATCCGATGACAGGCGATATACGAAGATTAATGAGATATATCAAGAAAATAATTACGTATTAATATATAATGATACCGTATCTATGTACTATATACGTCGCACACATTTTCCGAAGTGTAGAACACAAAAATGTCTTCATTGCATTTTACGCCCCTGTAGGATGAAAGTGACCCAACACAAAATTCCAGCCCTTCGCGAATACGCAAAATTAGATTTGAAGTTGTGACATTTTCATGTTATTTTAATTTGTTTCTTTTGAAGAACTAAAGGTACTTTGTTAGTCCTGGATAATAAATATGTAATGATGAAATATTCAGCTTTCAACATCAAAAATTATTTCCAACTATTTTAATTTATTAACAAAATAAAAACATGATTTCCGAAAACAAGTCACTACAAGGTCACTATTTTATTGAATTTTTTTCGTTGTCATACGACCTAACAAGAAAGAACTTTTTTTATTTTCACCAGGTAAGCAAGATGTTACGAGATGTTATCAAGATTAAGCCGTTTTCGTGGCGCGGCCTGTTATCTTTGCAAATGTTGGCGATTACGTGCGAGTGGAATTTGAAACTCATGAAAGAGTCCCATATATATAGTACCCAAGTCTGTGTCGTTCGAGCTTTAATGGGCGAAAAATCCATTTGTTGCCCGTGGTACTACCAGTTGTACTACTAGTAGTAATACGGCCAACAATCATTTCCCGTGTTACTACCGACAGTCCTAGTAGTAACACGGGAAATTGTTTTTGTCCGTTGTACTTTTTTTTACAATATTAAGTGACGGGACGAACAAGTCGTGTGCCTGATGGTAAGCTACACGCCTGTCCATAACAGTTTCAGTGCCACTCAGAGCTTTAAATCGCAAACATCATAGGCGCATCATCATCACTGTCACGGAGCTCGTCATCCTGAGACATAAGTTGACAAGTCCCATGTGCATGTGCCCGTAATTTCACCAGCACCCTTACCCTTCAAAACTGAAACACAGTAATGCTGACATTACTGCTTGGCGGCAGAAATAGGTAAGATTCTATTACTAGATACTATCCTGGACGAACTCTTTCACATGGAGCTGTACTGTACTAAAGAGATCCACGCATAGTACCTAAGTCTGTGTTGTTCGAGCTTTAATGGGTGAAAAATCCATTTGTTGACCGTGGTGCTACCAACTGTACTATTAGTAACACGGGCAATAATAATTTACCTTGTTACTACTGACAGGTAAATTATTTTTGCCCGTTGTACTACCAGTAGTAATACGGGCAATAATACTTTTCCGTATTACAGGTCCAGACAGATAAGAAGTTTTTAAAATTATGAAAAATTATTTATAAAGTCGTTTTACGGTGTATGTTCATTTTTAACCGATTTAAAAGAAAGGAGGAGGTTCTCAATTAGTCTGTATTTTTTTGCATGCATGTTACGTGATAACTCCACATTTGTGAACCGATTTTGATGATTCTTTTTTGTTGGAAAGAGGGTACCTCAGTAGTGGTCCCATTTAAATTTGAAGAAAGCATTCCACCTCTAAGGGTGGCAAACTAGGCGATGAATCCAGTTTCGCACTCTTTTCGGCAACCGATTTCAATAAAACTTGGCAAATAGATGTAACTCCACAAACATTTGAGGACCGTTTTTTAGTACTTTGTACTGAGATTAATTAGGTGACATTCATTCTAAAGGTGGGTTGTGTTTTCGGTGTATTCTTAATACTATTGCTTGAGACATAATAACAATAGAGTATTTTTATAAAAAAATATATTATACTATATATAGGTACACAAGCATAAATTACATTTTTTAGGTACAATAAGTGAGGTTAAATGTAAGCTTTGTAGGGTTGGTTCACCTGACAACTGTCTCGATGGTTGAATTATAGATGTCTACAAAATCATTAGAATACATTTAAATAACATAAACGTTCATAAAGGATTATAAGAAAGGAATAACGTGAAATGCATTATTGCGTAATTAAGTCAGAATTGAATGCGATATTTGGAGACAGGCTGAAAATTTACAATGACAGATCTAATACGTAGAAGGCAATGGTGCGGCTTATGTAATATCCCATCAACAAAGTAACGGCTTATAAATAAGATTTCAGTTAATATCTCTATAATGTAACTGCCTCCGTGGCCGAACGGTTACCATACCGGACTGCCACTCAGAGGTCCCAGGTTCGATTCCCGGGTCGGGAGAAATATTTGTATGGCCTACATTCATTTCTCTCGTGAGTTTGGGTGTAATTTGTGGTTGTCTATCTGTGTGTCCATGGCACCCGCGACACAGGGTTTCCCTAGTGCGGGGCTAAGTTGAGTGTGTGCGTTATTTAAAAAAAAATGTCCTTAGAACTCTATCCATAACAGTTGCAGTGCCACTCAGAGCTTTTAATCGCAAAGGTCTTAGGGGCGCAGGGGCACTGTACCCGTCACCTTGAGACGTAACATGTCTTTCAAGTCCAATGTGCCTGTAATTTCACTATGTCATCCTTACTCTTCCAAACCAGAACACAGTAAAGCTCACGTTACCGCTTGGCGGCAGAAATAGGTGAGGTGGCAGTACTTCTTTGGATAAATTTTTTCACAAGGACCTCTACTGCTACTAATTTAGCTAACAATTTAGTGCTCTGGATAATGTAGCCTATCAACTGTCACACGATCACTCGTAAAAACACTTTATGAAATGGGGTACGATAATATACATAGTACAAATAGAGACTAAATATATTATCGAAATCTTGATCATACCATTCTGACGTAACAAGATTGCCTGATCTCTATAATTTAATATACATTTATTGTCAAGGAAGTTAATTTTGGATAATAAACATATATTACGAGCAACAGCCGTCGCTTACATAATTTTATTGCCATTGAATATGACATCAATTAATTTTATTTGTAATTACTCCCTATCTTATCCAAATTTATATGCTAAATTAGATCAAAGGAACCGTTACATTTTGTTTGATAAAATTTTATATAAAAGTTGGACCATTTTTTATCCGAGCATAGTTCAGTCTGTGAAACGACGAAAATTAAAAGTAAGTAACTTCGTTAACGTCATTCATAGAAACTGAAGCCCAACTTCGTGCCAAAACGTGTATTGATTGGCTTTTTTAGTTCATAGAAACTGAAGCCTAACTTGGTGCCAAAAAGTTGTATTGGTTGGCTTTTTTAATTCATAGAAACTAAAGCCCGATTTGGTGCCCAAAAGTTGTATTGATTGGCTTGTTTAATTCATAGAAACTGAAGCCCAACCTGGTGTCCAAAAGTTGTATTGCTTGGCTTTATTCCATAGTTTCCGAAAGTTTTGCTTAAGTGTTGTATTGCCTATGGTGTCTGGAGAAAAATATTTAACAATGCCATTGTTTCACAGACATTATGTAAGTTCTGTGCAATTTGAAGAATTGACCTACAGATCTACTAATTATTTTACAGAACAAACATGAAAATCTTCGTCGCCTTCGCACTGATTGTGGCCGTGGCTTCGGCCGGCGTCATCAAGCCAATAAGCAACGAGGAGGCTCAGATCCAGGCTATCATCGATGCCATCCAAAGCCCTAGCACCGACCCTGCCACCGCTATCCTGCTCCAGCAGCAGCTCTTCCAGCTCCTCGGCGTCGCTCCTCCCAGCCCCGTTATCGTTGACATCGCTGACCCTGTAGCTGTCGTCGATGAAGCTATCTCTCCCGTCGAGGTGGTGGAAGAAGCTGTTGTTGCCCCTATTGTTGTCGTTGATGAAGCTGCACCTGCACCTGTTGCTCCCGTTATCGACCCAAGCCCCGCTAGCTCTCCTCTCGTGCAGGTTATCCTGAATATTAACGCCCCTGCTGGTGCCGTCGAAGTCTCCCCCGCCGGGGACTACGAGGTTCCTTACATTAGGCCCCCAATTGCCGTAGTTGACCCTATTGTGCCTGAACCTATTGTCTTGCCCCCTACTCCCATCTTCCCCGTTCAACCTGAACCACCTACTCCCATCTTCCCCGTTGTCGTTGAGCCTGTTCTCGTGAATCCTACCCCCATCTTCCCTGTCCCTGAACCTGTAATCGTGCCCCCTACCCCTATCTTCCCCGTTGAGGTTGAGCCCGTTCTTATCGGTGATCTTCGCCCCGTCAACCCTGCCATTACCCTCCCTGAGATCCTGAATTAAATGTTTCCTCGCTCTTCAAGTAAATTTTAAAAATACCGTTTCAGAAAACACGCATGTGAGGTGTCATTCAAACGTGTAATAAATTTGTTACTCAGCAAATTATCGCTTATTTATTACTTAATACCATGGAAATCTATAACTCATACAATGAAAAGACAACGCAGTTTCGTAGTTCAAGTTTGTAAATTAAAACTAGATAATTATTAATACAAATATCGAACACTCAGAAAAACTCCATCGATCCCGCCGGATTCGAATCGACGTCTTCTAACATACCGTGGCAGACGCTATACCAACTAAGCCACGGAACGAACCAGCGGACCTCACGAATTTTTCTGTGTTTGCTGTCGTATCTTTGTATTTGGTTTTTCAACGACTTTTTAGCCGTAGCGCCATCTATGAGAAATCTATGAAAGAATTTCGTCACCCAGTTAGATACATTTACAGCTACCAGCCCCGGGAGAGATGTCGCTATTCATGTCGCTTATTTTTATTGAAGTTATATTCAATTATTTTTTGTGTTGTGAATTCACTCCACTAGTTTGTTATAATACAAAGATCGAACACCCAGAAAAAATTCCTTCGATCCGGCCGGATTTGAACCAACGTCTTCTAGCATACCGTGCCAGACGCTATACATTAAAACTAGATAAATTAGTAATTTTCTGTTGAAGAATTGATTAAAGTGGACGACAGCACGAATTGCGCTGAAAGTGGTTTGTGAGAGACTTGTGAATGCATCTGTTGTACAAGGTCATTGAGAAAAACAATGAGGCTTTTGCCATTTATCTCCAATGCTCTTGATAGGGTCTTATACTCAAACCTCGTAAGTAAGCTTCCGTCGTGCAACTCACTGTTACCCTTACAACCGGAATTCCGACTACCTGAGTGAGGAAACTCGCATTCTCTTTATAGCGGAGACCTGTAACCAGCACAGTGAGGTATATAATAAGTTGATGGTCAGTGAAGGTTACACGTCCGATCAGTGCTCCTCGAGAACCTATTTTGTCCGTGACAAAAAAGGTCCGCTTTTACCTAGTCCCTGCTTTTTGTCGTAATAGATAGGTTTAGCAGTAGTAGAAGCAGTTGTGGAACAATTCGTCCAGTAAAATATTGTTACCTTACCTATATTTGCCGTCAAGCAATAATGTGAGGATTAATTACTGTCGATTTTGAAGGGTAAGGGTGTTGGTGAAATTACAGGCCATGGGATTTTTTAACCTATATCATAAATCATTTATTTCTTTGTGATACACAGATTAAAAAGTTGTTATAAGAATAAATTTTAAATCACTGTGATCTCCCTTGTGGAATTTAAAGTTAACTTTTTTTAATGTAATTTTCATGCAAGAATTTGTAATATACGATAACCCATAGTCCAATTAACGGAACCTAATACTAATAATTTTTTTTTACCTAAACTTCGAGGAACGGTGACAGAAAGTGGACAAGAGTGGTATCTTATGACAACATTTTTTTGTCCCGGATCTATTCGAGATTCGGAAAATCCCTTGAGTACACTAAAAATTAACGTTATTTGGAATAGGTTAACCACCAATTTTTCGGAATATTTAGGAAATTCGGACCAAAAATTTTGCTTAATACATGTAATTAAAATTATTACGATAGGTATGTATTTCAAACTTACTGTTGTTTTATGGACATTCCTCCGGGATCCTAAACCTATCGCATCGACTCTTTGCACTTCTAAGTATAAGTTTTAAGAAAAATATCGATTATTATTCAGCGAACAATCTCGCAAGACTATAGTCTTGCTATATAGTCTTGTGATGTTAGTAATATTACTAACATCATAAACAACAGCTTTTGTTCCATGACTTTTGAGAAAACTAAACAAATTTATCAAAAATAAAGTAGTTTACGTTTTTGTTGTACTATCTGATACTATTTAGATCTCTATTTGGTAGTACGTGCAAGCGTCCTCCCCGACGACTCCCACCTCCTCTCTTGCGTTTTGCATCTGGTATTTTGTTAACGCACGGAATTTTGTTATGGAGGCACTTCACATTTGAAAAAATATTGGATGAAATATTTGAATAAGTAGTTAAAATAATGAATATGTTTCTATTATTATTTCTGCCGCCAAGCAGTACTGTGAGTATTACGGCGTTCCGGTTTGGAAGGGTAAGGGTACTGGTGAAATTATAGGCACATGGGACTTGTCTGCGCCAGTCACCCTGAGACATAAGTCTCAGGGTGACTGGCGCAGTGGCAGTGTCCCTAAGATCTTTGCGATCTAAACCTCTGAGTGGCACTGCAACTGTTATGGATAGGCATGTCGCTTACCACCAGGTGTACGACTTATTCGTCCCGTCACTCGGTATTACAAAAGAAATGACCATGGTGGATTACTTGCGTATTTGTCTATTTGACTTCTTCGATGTGCGTCGAGAAATCGACCAAACGTGAGTGTGGTGTTTGCTGTATTTGTCGAATAGTCAAACACTTGTAAATAAAAAAACGTTTATTGCTCCATTAGAGAAATTATAAACAATATCCACTCCAATTCTTGTAACTCTATCTACAATATAAGTCGAAAACCGAAACTAGATAGAGAAAACTAACCTGAAAATTACCCATTTACATACATAGCTAAGCGTTAGTCGAGACTCCAAAAAAAATAATTGTATATTTATGTTACAGGGTTACGGGCGCAGTGGCAATGCCTCTCAGATCTTTGTGATTTAAAGCACTGAGTAACACTCACAGACATATATCTAGATATATATCTGTGATAGTATCTCAAGTAAAATATATAATATAAAATATTGAGGGGATAGTACTTTCCGTGGATACCATAGACGTTGCAACACGTCCGAAACGTCGAGGTAAGATATGTTTGGACACGATTAAGTTGCGATTTTAAAATCAAATAATTATTTTATTTTTAAAGTTTACGCGATTGATAGATGCCGCCCACGATTTTGGGCAGAAACAATTAAAAAATAAATTTGTACCTATAAGTTGTTTCATACCATATATTTTAATTTATTTTGTTTTATGATATGGAGTTATGGAGATATTAACATTCTCTGTTCACTCTTAAACTGTTCTGCCCTTTATCCGTAGTTTCCCTAGAAGGGATTCATTTAAAGCAGTAAGACTGCGCAATGAACAGTAATTTTTTTAGTAGTTGTAGAGCAGCTTGTGAAAGAGCTCGTCCATGGTAGGTCCAATTTCTGCCGCCAAGCAATAATGTCAGCATTACTGTGTTCCGGATTTCAAGGGTAAGGGTGCTGGTGAAATTACAGGCACATGAGACTTGTCAACTTATGTCTGAGGGTGACGGGTGCAGTGGTAGTGCCCCTCAAATCTTTGCAATTTAAAGCTCTGAGTGGCACTGTAACTATTATGGACAGGCGTGTAGCTTACCATCAGGCACACGGCTTTTTCGTCCCGTCACGTGATGTTACAAAAAAAAAAAAATAAAGATTTTTAATTACTGCTAATGCAAGAAGAGAGTCTCATCCATTTATTATTATAAAAAACCATGGGCTTTTTCGCACGATTATAATTTAAACAATGTTTCGTGTAACAAAACTGTACCTTATTCCGTGTATCTTATTTATGTAATACGCAGGTAGCAAGCTTTTTATGAAGTATACGCTACAAATGTCTTGTGTTTATGTTTCCTTAACGCTCGGTGTAAATTTAAAGCAGGGCTGCTTGGAAAAATAATAATAAAAATGTAGGTAAAACAGTTTATTGCACCACATGTGATAATTACATTTTATAGATACAATAAGTGAGAAACCTTATTTTAATTGAGGGTTTCGGGTAGGGTCACTGCAGGCGCTACGGGCAGGGTTGGTTCACCGATGATGACAGGGTTGATAACAGGGGGGACCACTACGGGAAGGGTTGGTTCACCAATGATGATGGGCTCGACTGGGGGTACAGGTGCAGGAAAGATGGGCTCAACGACGATGATAGGCTCCACGTCGGGGGCAGGGAGCACAACAGGGGGCACAATAACGGGCGCCGGATTGATCTCCTCATAGATAGTCTCGTCTACGACATTCACGGGATCAGCAGTGATATCATTGATAGCGGAACCGACATCGACGGCACCGGCAGGGGCGTTAATATTTAGGATAACCTGCACGAGAGGAGAACTAGCGGGGGTCGGGTTGACAACAGGAGCAACAGGTGCAGGTGCAGCTTCGTCGACGACAACGATAGGGGCCACAACAGCTTCTTCGACCACCTCGACGGGGGAGACGATATCATCGACGACGACAATGGGGGCGACGGCAGCATCATCGACAACGACTACAGGATCAGCGATGTCAACGATGATGGGGCTGGGAGGAGCGATGCCGAGGAGCTGAGCGAGTTGCTGCTGGAGCAGGATAGCGGTGGCGGGGTCGGTGCTGGGGCTCTGGATGGCGTCGATAATAGCCTGGATTTGAGCCTCCTCGCTGCTTGTTGGCTTGATGACGCCGGCCGAAGCCACGGCTACGATCAGTGCGAAGGCGGCGAAGAATTTCATCTTGATGTTTCTGAAAAAGAGATTATTTATATTACGCTGAATTCTACTAATTAATCACAATCTCTAAAAGTTTGTAAGGTGGTGTAATGTTCTGAACAATTGTAAAATTATATTTGAAATCTTAAACGTCTGTTATAAAACTAATTTAATTAATTATCAATACAAAATATTACAGAATGCAGAGTATATTTTATTATTATGTGCTCAGGTGCTATTATGGTACTATAATTGCATTTTTACGTACTTAAAAAATGCAAACTTACTTTTAAATGCCTTTGTCAATACACTGACTATGCCAGCCTGCGGTATTTACCGACTTTTTATACTAACGTTATCATTATTTAGCGCGGAGTTTATCCATAAATTGAAGGAATCATAATTCAATCTATCTGTCATTAAGTTTTTTATTGTATTTACAAGATAAAGTATATCGCTTCCTGGTTAATTTTTAAGTATATATGTATAAGGTACATTTAGTTACAAAATTAGGTAAAACAATAAAACAAACTGTAACTTTCTAAACTGTTAATTCAAATCCATCTCCACAACAATTACGAAATATTTTGTGTATTTAAATAGTCTGATTTCCTTATTACAGATTATATTAGTGCGTGATATATTAGTTAGGCCGTTATTTAATAGAAATCATTTATTTACCCTTACCTTATTACGCACTAAAATGCGCTACAAGTTTGGGGTGCACGAAAGGAACCGCCACTCACGACATCCGATCCCTGTTCTGTAGGTAGGTACGTCTACCCTGGCCAACAATAGGTGAGAACCATAATATAGCAAATATCTTCAACACGATGACAAGCTTTAGCGCACTGCATCCTATTCGTATCCGTTCACAATCCAAGACTATATAATCTAGAAAATTCGGACCCACTTCGGACGTCGCTTGTCCACTAAGTCCGATTCAAATCCGAGATAATACGAGTATCGCTTGTACATCTACTTGGCCTTTGTACTCTCTTTCTCCGCTCGACATCCGTCTGAAACAATCACTGTCAAGTAAGTAATACTCGATCAATTTGAAATAATCGTGATGCGAATGAAGCGTCATTATATTCCATCGAGTATATAACCAGAAATAGAGAGGAAGTAAGGGCCATCCATCTCTGGCAACTCATCAAGTGAATGGGCCTTATATCACTTTTAAATAGCAACTCTCATTTTGAAATCACAAAGTATATAATAATATAATATATATAATAATATCATAAGCTGAAATAGTGCAGCGCCAACAACTGACCTGTTTGTCGTCTCCGTATAATCCAAAAATGTTCTGTATTTGTTGTAATAAATATAATATCTAAAACAATAAAATAAATAAATAAAATTGTTGTACAAATGAATAACTAAAGACTAATTAAGTATGCGAATAAATGTAAAATATTACACATATACCTAAACTAGGAGAATCCTGTATTTCAGGTAAAAAGTAATTATAAACAAATAAATAATTACACAATAAAATGCAAATCATATAAAATACGCTTAAATTAGACAACATTTATTTTGGGATAATTAATAAATTCTCAATGTCATTGTAGGACATATTTTGAAGGAATCCTTGGAGAATTTTCTTAACCTTTATGTAACAAAAATGATATATGGCCAGTTTGGTGTTTAATTTATTGTACAAAAATAGCCGAAGAAACACTAAAAATCTGTACATAAACACATGTTTTGATGATACAATTTTGAGGCAGGCAATATATTTCCGTCTTTTGTTAGTGTTTTCAGTACTATATGGGAGTGCAATGTGTTGTTTGAGAACCGTGGACTTAATAAATAATTGCCTTACTGTTAGTATCTTATACAGAAGTTTACTTATACAGAAGGTCAGTGGGGTAAAGGAAAGGGCGAAAGGTAGAAACCTTTAGAACCGCTTGCTGGGCTCTCTCAATGATAATTAATGAAATTTTAGCATTACCACCCCAAGATGTAATGCAATATGTAAAAATTGATTGACATATGGCATAATAAACATGCCTGATTATTTTAAAATCAGCAAAAGCGCGTAGTTTTTTAAAAACGTACATTAGCTTAACGTTTCGACCGCTTAGTGCTTCGATATGGTGCTTAAAAGAGAGGTTATCATCTATTATAACACCTAATAAATACTTTACCTTGTTAGTAATAGTAATGTTTGGACACTTGCACAGGTTGTTAGTAGTCTCCTTACAATGGTGAGCATAAAGTTGTGTGTTAGTTACAGCAGACTTTGTTTTCGCATATAGAGCTGAAACTAGTTTTATCCGTGTGTTAATAATGTTGCTGGAGTCAGTTATATACGACATTGAATCCTCGCTGAGCATAATCATAGACTTCTTTATCAGAGTTAGCAGAAAAAAGCAGAGCAGTATCATCAGCATAGGACATATCCTATGCTGATGATACTGCTAAGATCATAATCTTCCCACCAATTCTAGATTACAAAGGTCATTAATGTAGATTAGAAAAAGAGTGGGGTCTAACATACTTCCTTGGAGAATTCCAAATGCAGTACTCTTGAGATCAGAACTGAAAACGTCACCTATTTTGACACATTGGGAGCGGTTCCCCAGATAATCTGCAAATAATTTTAGCTGTATACCTCTTATACCTAGGGATTCAAACTTCTGCAATAGGATGGGTATATAAACTGTATCAAAAGCTTTCTCGAGGTCCAGAAATATCCCCACTGTTTTATTACCCGTGTCAAGTTCCCTCGCTGAAAAATCCGTAAAGTGACGCACAGCATCAGATGTCGATAATTTGGAACTAAAACCGAACTGTGTTTTAGATAATATGGATTGTTTCTCCAAATACGATACAATTTATAAGTTTTTCTAATATTTTAGATATTGCTGGTAGTAACGAAATAGGTCTATAATTCGTTATTTGATCTTTGTTAACAGATTTATGTACCGGGACAACAACAGCTTTTTTAAGCATTTAGTAAATTTTCCTTTTGTTAGAGATAATTTGTAAAATGAATGTAAGCGATGATAGTGGGATGTGCCTGAATTGTTCTAGTATTTTGTTTGGTATGTCTATTTTATTTTTATTTTATTTTATATGTTATCATGACCAGGAGCACTATCGTCTTTTAGGCTTAAAATTATTCTTTCAACCTCACTTTTATCCGTGTCTAATAGTACAAATGATCGCAGATACTTTCTGCAGATGGATTGAGTGCTTTTGTGATGGAGAAAGCTACAAAGTTTGAATTTTTTGTGCCAGATTTTTACCTGCGTTGACGCAAAAATCATTTGCGCTGTTAGCAAATGTCAGCTCAGATGAATGGGCTTTCAATAATCCTGAAGATAATTCATGCTGTTTTGATGTATATGTTGCATTTTTAATACATTTCCAACATATTTACTGTCTGTACCAGCTTTGTCTAATTCCTTTTTAGCGTAACTATATTTAATTTTTTTAAGAAGGTTGTTACGAAAGTTCCTATATCTTTTATACGATGCTTGTAATATTAAATTACCTGGATTGCATTTAGCCTTCATGTGTAGTATATCCCTATGTAGCGTACAGCGTTTAAACAACAACATTAAAGTGCAAGCATGTAGCACACTTTGGAGGTGCGGCCTTCTTTGAAAAGTCCTTTATTGTGTATCCGACAACACCGCAGTGACCGCAGGTAGAGGCCTCCTCAGGACAGGTCTTGGATGCATGGCCGTATCGCTGACACTTAAAGCATCTAGTAACTAGAGTGAAGTCTCTCACAGGACACGACGAGCAGTTGACAAACACTCTGTCCTTTGTTATTAGGGTTTTGTGTACATGTGGAGGTACTTCAATTACATAATTGCAGGACTCGGCTTTTCTCTTTCCTGACTTATGGCTTAATTTAATTAAGGTTAAAAATGTCTCGAGTGACGTACCTTGCAGCTTGTCGGCTAAATTTTGCTGAAATATACAATTGAAGACTACGGTTTCTTGCATAGACGTAGGCACTCCAATGATGACAATTCTGGGCTTGCGATTATATGGCTTATCAACAGTCAGGCCGGAGGTTGTCAATTGGGCCGCCTGCTTCAGGTTCTCGCGATTATCTTTGATGTCGGTACTGATGATAACACCACCGTTCTTCAGCAGCTTCATTTCTTCAGGTCGGATGATTTTTTGGACTAGGGTTTTCGTCTCCTCACTCGATTTCAATTTATCAGCAGGATAAATTGCTATAGAGCTTATCTTATTAGACTGTATAAAATTATTTGCGCTTTTTTTAACCATATCTGTGAAAGACACTATGTTCGAGACTGGTTTTGACGATTCTTGAATACTCTGCTTGAGGTCTTAAAGCTGCTGCTAGAGGTCCTGATTATCTTTAAGAGCTTTAAGGTATATATGGGCTTGAATGGTTTTTTGTTTAAGGAACTGGTACGGTACAGCCATATGAGACGTTCCATTAGCAACTTTTTGGCACAAATTGCTATTTCTAAGTTTTTGGTCTGAATTCAGCTTTCCTTCGATAGAAATAGTGCATACCTCGTTTATGCACTGTTCTATTGTTATCCAGTCTTGGATCTCAGGCGTGTTTAATTATTTATATTATTCTGTTAATTTATAGACACGACCGATCACATCGCGAAGTCGAATAGGAATAAGGATGACAATGGCGGCTGTTCCAGTTGATGGTGTGGGAAAAACAGCAACACATCTAATTACAAAACCAACGGAATCACATTTCATCGGTAATTAAATATTAAATATATAATTTTTCAATTTTCGTCCATTACAGC